ATAGAATAGAATAGAATGGAATGGAATGGAATGGAATGGAATGGAATGGAATGGAATGGATTGGAATGGAATGGAATGGAATGGAATGGAATGGAATGGAATAGAAAAGCTATGGAGTAAATTATATATCGACTTCAGCAAAGCATTTGAAAAAAGTACCCCCATTACATGCTGATTAACAAGGGAGTTAAGCCTGATCTGGATGGGTAGGTAGCTGACTTGAAAATCATCCTCAAAGAATTCTCAGCGGTGCTTCCTCATCAGCCTGAAGGAAGACAGGTTGGTGTGGAAGCAAGACAGGGGAACAAGAGTTAGCTCTGCGCCCTCAGTTCTCCAGCACTTTCATAAATGATTTACCATATTTTTTCGGAGTATAAGATGCACCGGAGCATAAGACGCACCAATATTTTGAAGAAGCAAATTTTAAAAATAGTTTTTGTACTCTGCAGACCTCCCAAAAGCAGCCTGTTTTTCACGCAAACAGTCCTGGGTTATTATTATTTTTTTTCAAAAAAAGAGGGCATGAATAGCCTTCAGGAGGCTTCTAGAATGTTCCTGGGGGGGGGTGCGTCCCCCAAACGGGCCTCATTTTTTTGTCAAAAAAAGGGCATGCATAGCTTTTAGGAGGGTTATAGATTGCTCCTGGGGGCTGAGGGGGCAAAATTGAGCAAAAAATTGGCCTTTTTCGTTCATTTCTGCCCTCCCCAGCCCCCAGGAGCACTTTGCAAGCCTCCTAAAGGCTATGCACGGCCATTTCAGTGAAGGGGGCAGGGTTTCAGGAGGCAAAAAATGCTGTATTCGGTGTATAAGACACCCCCAGATTTTCACCCTCTTTTTTGAGGGAAAAAGGTCCGTCTTATACTCCGAAAAATACGGTAGATGGAGAGATGGAGGGAATGCTGATCAAAATTGCAAATGACACCATAGAGTGGGACAGCAAATATTCTAGGAGAAAGTAACATAATTCAAAGGATGTTTGGTAAGCTACAGGAATGGGCCGAAGAGAACACAACGAAGCTTTAACAGAGACACATACAAAATGATTCATGGGAGACACAAGTCAAATGTACACCTAGTGAGATTTCTATAACACTTAGTACACAGGAAATGTGTTGAAAATGTTGTAAAAAGGTGAAAAGCAAACTGAAGACAAATGGAAAACGTCTGATCGGTCTTCCTATATTTCTCCGAGCTACGCTGTTAAAAATTATTAAATGGGATAACTACGCATAAGGGGACCTGGAAAAGCAACTGCAAAATTAATTTAGGCAATGCGTTGATGCCCGTGATAGGGCAGGCGGCTTTTTAGAGGAAGTAAGCTTTTGGCTTTTGGAGAAAGTAAGTTTATCGTGGCTATTAAAAAATGGAATCAAGTAATCCTTTTCACAGACTTTGATCATGGGAGAAATAATTGGAGGGAGAGTTATTGACTTCATTCCAAGTTCATTAACTGCTACTGGTGAAATTAAGAAGAAAGACAAGGTCGGAGTGATTAAATTCACAAATCCAGAGGGTTCTTTAAATATTGGAAGCTGCAAAACTTCAGCAGTCTTTTATCCCTTAAGTTAAAGGTAAAGGTTCCCCTCGCATATGTGCTAGTCATTCCCGACTCTAGGGGGCAGTTCTCATCTCCGTTTCAAAGCCGAAGAGCCAGCGCTGTCCGAAGACGTCTCTGTGGTCATGTGGCCGGTATGACTGAACGTCGAAGGTGCACGGAACGCAGTTACCTTCCCACCAATGGTGGTCCCTATTTTTCTACTTGCATTTTTTACGTGCTTTCGAACGGCTAGGTTGGGGCAAATAACAGGAGCTCACTCTGTTATGCAGTGCTAGGGATTCGAACTGCCGAACTGCCGACCTTTCTGATCGACAAGCTCAGTGTCTTAGCCCCTGAGCCACCGCACCCCTATTCTTTTATCCCTAGGAAAAGTTAAATAATCATAGGGAAAGCTAAGCAATCACAGGAAAAGGTAAGTAGTTTATTTATTAAAGTCCCCTGCCTGTAGGCCGCTTTAATCTAATGAAAGGCAGACAATCTTAATAATTGAATTCCTTTTGCTGAAATAATGTCCATAATAAACATTAAGAAAAACAGCCTCTACAAAATCTAACGTTCAGAATGACGTAAAAGTAGAAAGTCTTTACATCATAAACACCATAACACCCATCAACAAAGCATCTGTTAAGAGACTGAAAAAATCGGGAAAATGGAAACAGCGGATTGAACCGATGTTCTTACTGTGATCCAAGTGGTTGGATTTGATGATCTTTTCGGAGTAGTCAGATATACTGGAGCATTCAATCTGCAAGATAGAAAAGAGATAGGAAGGAAGGTCAGCACTGAGCATGTCAGGTGAATAGTCAGAAATCAAAAGCTTATTCCAGAGACTCTGTCCTGCCAAGGCAAAGGTTGCAGAAGGCCTTTGCACCTTGTGTTGTTGTGTAGTGCAGGGGTCCCCAAACTTGGCAACTTTAAGACTTGCGCAACAGAAACTTTGGGGCTCAACTGTGTGTCAACGTTCCAAATATCATGCAGAATTAAATCAGAGTCCAAGGCAAAGCTATCCTTAAAGTTCCAATTTAATAAGACAGACACGTTGGCACAAACTGTGGAATACCAAATCTGAAAAACTTCCTGGGATTCCACCCAGTTGAAAGTTCATGATCTTATGCCCACACCCATAAATCTGTCACATGGTCCAATCTTCTTTGCCCATGCTGGCATTTCCACCCATCTAGTTCCGGTCAGGTGCAGAGGTGCAGAGACAAAAGATGGCCTTGGGCTTCTAGGAAGGAATGACAACAACACATTCCACAATTCTACTCCTTACTATTCCCTCCTCCCAATTGCCCCCTAATGAAACAGCATAGTAAAGAAAGAGAGAGAGAAAGTGTGGCAGGCCAAAGATTCTAAAAGGAATAGAACTGCTGGCCTGACACTGTGGTTGTAAGTTGAGGACTAATTGCACCGCTTTCCTTAAGCATTCCTTAAACATTTGTGAAGTGAGTTTTGCCTTGTTTTACAACCTTTCAGGCAACGGCGAATTGCTGCAGTTACTGAGTTAGTAGTGGGGCTATTCAGTGACTCTGGTTTTCCCATCGACTTTGCTTGTCAGAAGGTTATAAAAAGTGGGGGAACACAGGATCTGCCGGGCCAGAGGTGGGTTCCTACCGATTCGGACCGGTTCGGCCGAGTAAGTAGTAACTCGGCCACCCACGTACCTGAACCGGTTCTATTATCGGCGGCGCCATCTTTATTTTTGCTTCTGCGCATGCGCAGAACATTCTCCGTTGCAGAAATGTAATGTCCCCCTCCCTTTCTTACGTTCTGCGCATGCGCAGACGTGTTTAGGTGTAAAGGCGCACACAGCGGGGCACACGTTTGGCCTGCGAGCAAGCGAAACGAGTCTGCACGCCCAATTTTTTTTGCCCGCCGAACCAGGAGTAATGCGGTAGAAACCCACCCCTACCCAGGATGCTACAACTGTCATAAACATTGAGTCAGATACCAAGGGTCTGAATTTTGATCACCTGACCACGAGGATGTTTCAGTGGTCGTAAGTGTGAAAAAAAGAACTTTTATAAGATGATTTATAGATGGCATTTAGATCCTAAAAAACTGGCCTGCATGTATCCGAATTTACAACCTAAATGCTGGAGATGTGATTGTCTCGATCGTACATATTACCATATATGGTGGACTTGTAAAAAGGTTAAAGTATTTTGGATAAAAATATGGTGGATTATGCAAAATATTCTTATAAAAGTTCTTTTTTTCACACTTACGACCACTGAAACATCCTC